GATTGAACACAGTAAGAAACATGTAAATTATAGTGTCCGCCTTAAAGAAAACCCATTACTTATAGTGAAAACCACCCTTGAATGATGGGGTAGTAGACTAAAAGCTTTAGGAATCCAAACTATAACATATAATAAGTACCCTGTATCAAGATTGATGCAAAACAAGTGAAATTTGACCTTTTTGAGAGGTTTAGAAAAAAACAAAACACTTCTGGGGTCATTTGGGTGCATTTGCCATATCTCTGGAACCCATCGGTCGATTTTGGTGATTAACACCTGTTTTGAACCGTTAGAGCCAATAGAATCGAGGGGAAGTTCCTAAATCCATCTAAACATTAACAATTGGTGAATGAGAGTGATGCGCAGCTAGCATGCCCAAAGCCGGAAGCTCTCATTCACTCTCGTAGCTCTCAGAGCAACTATATATGAAAACTACTCTAATTGACATAAATGTTATGATGATCAGTAATCATTTCAAAGTGACACAGAAAAGATTAAGCTTCAGCAGCGTTTATATAGGTCTTAATGCCCTTGAACACAACTTTTGATTAGAAAACATTAAAGGTAAGACGTATTTGCCGTTTTGGCCACGTAAAGTGAAGTTGTGTGTTGTCTTTGCTGGCCTTCGCCGCCGCGGGTTTTGCTTTCATGATATCTAGTTTGTGCAGATCCGATGAAGTATAACATATTTCTACCGTGAGTTATGTGCTAAGTGCGTTAGCACTCTTTCGCTTAGTGCTATTTCAGAGGCTCTGCGTTAGACTTGTGTTTTGTTTCGGTAAGAATTGTTCATATCGTCAGGTAGCTGAGTTTATTCCCGTTAAGTGAGTATGACACATTCATAGTTTCTTAAATGTTAAGAAGCCCTCAGACGCTGTTTCTTGCAAGATGTTGCGGGAGCCCCCCCCCCCCAATGCAGTAGGTAGTTATATTTAACTTCTACTATAATGGACATTAAAGTAAATAAAGTACATTCTGTACTTACTGTCTAAACCTAACCCATTTTCCCATTATCTGTTAAACTCATCTTCTTTAACTCCTAGAGAATAGGTATTTATTTACTTCACAAATATTTCCTGAACTATTAATCCCTTTATTGTTTGAAAACACATCTGCTGTTCTGTGTCTGACCTGAGGGTGCGCTGGTTCTTCAGCAGCGCCTGGAGGCCCAACAGCCCCTCCTTCCTCTCCGACCAGTTAGCACTGGCACAACGGTTCAACACCTGTAAAGAGACACACGCTTTTAAACAGGCACAAAGCAAGCGATGATATACAAATATATTGAGCCTGATAACCAACTGACATGGCTTTACATTAGCCGCTTTCACACCAAGTACTTTGCCATACTTAGTTCCGAGTACTTAGTCCCGCTGAACTCTTTAGTCCCGGAACTGTCCTAGTAAATCGCGTTCACACCGGAATGAGGGAGGATTCGGCAAATGAAGCCGCTGATGTCACTTCTTCTGCTTTGGGTTTACTGGCAGGCCGCAAACAACTTCACGGCGTATACTGCCACCCGAAGTCCGGGCTTTGGGTGGCAGTACATCGCCACCCAAAGCCCCAGGTAAATCGCCAGAAGCGCCGACACCTCCTCATCACTCCACCGATCCCACGTTTTATTTTGCCATAAGTTAGTCTCTCTCCGTTGGTGCGCTGGGCTAATGCCCATTTGCTAATAAAGCAAATAAAATGGCGGCTTCATCAAAACTTTTCAGAGTTTTACGGGGCGTGGTTTGCAATTCGCCCAGCCAATCAGAAATTGGAACCGCAAAATCCCAGGAACTATCGGAACTATTACAGGGAAAAGTACTCGGTGTGAAAGCGCCTAATGTAACTAACGGCACTAATTTGCTTACTGAAACGAAAGCAATTCAAATTACACTGAACACAGCAAATTATTGCAAACATGTCTATAGTGAGAACCAGCACATCAGTCGACTTGAATGACAATATGCTGAAACGTTATTATGGAGTGTTTGCCCAATGGTGCTCCAAGAAGTGTGCACAGGGGCGGACTGGGACTAAAAATGGGGGGAGGGGGGGGGGGGGCTAGTGAATTGTCCGACCGGCCCACCAGGAAAACTCCTGGTATTCCCAATGATCAGTCCGCCCCTGAGTGTGCATACCCTCGCTTTAACAGTACTGAAATATGTTGTTTAACACATTTAACTTTTGTAAAGCATTTTTTTTTTTTTTACGTGCCTTTGGAAGAAAGAACTACTAAGCAGAGTTGCCTGGATTAAGGACAAGATGGACTATGTATTTAATTTAGAAATGTGTGCACAGCTCTCTGGAAGAGTGTTGCATGGCCTACTGACTTCACTCTTTTAAGGATTGTTTTTCTGCTGTCCCACTGTTGCTACTCACCTCAGCTACGTCTTCTGTCTGCCTCATGTAGGTGGGGATGGCTCCTCCGTTCCTTGAGCTGTAGGAGCGCTCTGAGCAGGCGCTGGACGCGTCGCTGTTAGCGTCGTCGTCAGAGTACATGCTGTAGTTCTCATACCGCCGCCGTGCTGGCTTCTTCTGCGGGTGGAGGACAGAAATCCAAAAGAGATGAAATTAAACTGGAAGAGAAAATGCACTAAAACCACTAAGACATGCGCTCACACACCAGCTGAATTGAGTAGAAACACAACTAAACACACACAACACACAGGTAAGAGGCAGGAGAAGGAGCTGACCTTAGACCGCATGTCTCCCAACAGCTGACAGCATTAAACAAAGGTAGAACCAGGGGTTAGTTAACACACACACACACACACACACACACACACACTGCAAGAGGCAGCACATGGTGACAGTTTACTGGATCGTGTAAGATTTACAAAGGTATTTAGTGTTTATTTGGATGTTTTTATGCGTTTTAATACCAATGCATCTGCAAGAGCCTCTTCGACGTCTGAGCCTGGGTTGAGGACCCTCATGGCGCTGACTGAAGAAGAGAGGCGACTGGACTGACTGATACCTAAACCTGATCCTGGAGAGAGTCAGAGGGAAAAAGTGGAGGATGAAACATTTTAGAATTGATAGACCTTATATAGATTCCTCTCACTCATCAAACAGTCTCGCACTCGTCCTCTGATGATCAACCACTCTCCGCATCATCATCCATCCTCTGACATTTACTCATCCCAGCCACACTACATTTCCCATGAGCCAACCCTGTAAGTTGATGTTATGACTTGTTAGGTGACATTGCAGGTGCTGCTGGGGGAGAAAGTATGATGACAGAAAACATGGAAGATTTGTTGGTGTCCTTGTAGAAAAGAGGCAGGGCTAAATAAACAAAAGTAACAATGGTAAAACCGGCAGAAACATGCATTTCCACTGGAGGGTACGACATCCTGGAGGGGAATAAAAAAATAAATGAACAAAAAACATGGAGGCTGATGGAAAAGGAAAGAAAAAAGGTTGACAAAATTGTAGGAGAAGATGCTTGGCACTAAAGAAAACAAAAAGAAGAACGGGTGAGCGAACAGAAATCAAGGCGACGTGGGTGGGTGAGGTACGGAGAGGAAGAAGTACTCAGCCTTCACCTGCAGCACCAAAAACGTCAGGTGCGTGGAGCGCTCCGGTGGAGCGAGAGTAGCTCCGCGTTGCTGCAACCAAGATTAAAACACACATACAGAGTTTAACTCACGCACCCACACACACAAAGAAACACACAACCCTAACACAGGGTGTGAGAGGAGAAAGAAAGGCTGAAAAACATGCAAGTGACTTTTCTCTTTCTTTTCTTTTTTAATCACCCTCAAAATGTTGAGGTTTTTAAAAGTTTGGTCAAATCAGACACCATTAGTATAGAAGTAGCTTGATTCTGAGCTTACTTAAAGAAAGCTTTCTCTCCTGCTTTGATTTCCTAGCCATCTGTGATTTCACTAGTAATCCCTCCTGGGTGTCTGTCTGCGGCTGCTACTCACCGAGGGGAGTGAAGGAGCGTACGGGGCTGGTGTCCCGGCTGCTCTCCCTGCTGGCCTCTCTGCTGCAGCCCTGACTCATACTGGGCCGAGGGATACGACTGCCCCGAGCTAACGCCACCGGGTAACAACACCGCGACGCAGCAGAGGGAAAGGTGAGGGGAAACAAGGGAAGGAAGAGCAGCAAAGGGAAGAAAAGCAGTAGTAAGAACACAAAGGACAAAGGGAAGGGACATACATAAGACAACCAAAGGACAAAGAAGAAAGACAAACATGAGTTGTGATATAAGACAGAGATGACGATACATAGATAAAGACGTATCTTATATACGTCTTTATCGATGTACACAGAACATGCAAAAGTGACGGATACAAGAGAGAATACGAGCTGCTGACTCAAAGGAGCACTTATGATTGACAAGATGTTTAATTTTCATAACAGCGGCAGATTACGTTTCTGTGGATGGATTGGCAATTTCAGTTAACGATTACATAATCATGACATTTTAATTTCAGAACTTAGAACCAGCAAATATTGGGACTTAATTGATTTATTGATTCTCAAAGCTGCAAATTATTTTCTTGGTTGACTAATTAGTTCAGCTCTAGATGAGAATCACCCATAGAAGCACAGGACTGCTGGACTCAATTTGAAATGAAACAAAACGTTTTGATAATCACATGCAATCACCCATCTCACACACAAACACACAAAATAGAAAAGGAAGGGATTATGTAAGAATGAATTAAGCGAACGAGGGATGGGCGAGGGGAGGATGTGCGCTTTCATCCAATAGTATCGCAATCAACTTGTCCGTTCATTGCTCTGTTCGTCAGCTGCAGTATCTACAGCCAATCAGGGTTAATCACAGCCTGAAGCCCTGATCAAGCTGCGCTGATCCTGCCAGAGGGTTGGGTTCACCAGCCAACGGCAACAGGTTAGTAAAGAGGGGAGGAGGCGTTCATAATGCTGGATATCTGCTGATCATGGGCACCCATCACCATAACAACACAGCCATAATTCAGAGACAGGTTAGAGACTGGGAAGATGGGAGTTATAGTGATGGATGATCATAAAGAATGAGGGATGATTTTAAGATCATGATGACATTATATAGAAGGGCTGTACCAAATAGTTTCGAAGCTTCAATCAAAACCTTGAATTCGTTTTACACATTTATTTATTGAGTTTCAGCATGGTGCTCTGTTGAAGCTAAAGATTATGCTACACTAATATTATTAGTATAATGTTGATTGATAAATTGATTTCACTCTTGGCTGCTTACAATTGTACTTCCATCCATATATGTTTGCGTTAAGCCTTTCAAAAACATAATGACTGCTGATCGTTTCCCCAAATAGATTTTTACACAAATTATTTCGTCTCGGTTCGTTACAGGCATCCCTAGCTTAATTCAAAAACCTGAATAAAAGCTTTAAAGACATTGGGTACAGCCCTGACAGACAGATGGAGGTTAAGAGATGGATGGTAGGATGGTCTGGTCGAGGGCGGAGCCTTACCTCCTCTGGCCGCTCCGTTGTAGATGGAGCTAATGCTGGAAGGAGCTAGAGGACAGAAGCACCACCAGTAAAGTAACTGAGTATCAAAACCATCATCAAACATTTGTTACAGAAGTCAAATATGAAATAACAGATAACGTGTCCTTACCGACAGACAGGCGTGTGGGGGAGGAGTCTCTGGAGCAGCCCTGGCTGCGGGGGATGCGGCTGCGTCTGTTTTTGTCCCCGCTGGAGCCGGCCAGCACCCTGTGGGCCCCGGAGCTCATGGTGCTCAGGGCCGTGGTCGTCAGCACTCGACCCGGGGAGCCACTCCGACTGCCAGCTGCAGAGAGAGAGAGAGGAGGACGAAACACAAAGACAGGGAGGAAGTCAAATAAAAGCCTTACTCGTGCAAACAAGGGGAATTCAACAGTTGAAGCTGCAAAGAAACGGAACCGATCCCCCTTTAATGTTAATGTGAGGATCCTATTTCTAAAAGGGTTCTTAGATATGTACACAAACAACTGAAAAAGAAAGATACTACTGCTTTTTTTACTTAGTTTCCAAACCCTTTAGTGTTGAAACATACATTACTTATATTAATACCTTAACTTAATAGCAAACTTAAAAGGGTTTGATGTAATTGTAAAGAGGATAAAAGTTACATTTTAATAACAAGAAGATGTTATCGGACAGCTATTCAGTCTTTATTCCAGAACTATTTCATACATTATAATAACACAGGTCTTAATTTCTCCTCCCAATAACATCCTGTCTCCAAATGCAATGCTAACGGTTTGTCTTTTCTACAATGAATAACATGCCTTTCAACCTTAAGACAAACAAAGGACAACTTTCTCTTAAATGGTGAATATGAGGTGTGTAGACAGACAGGCTCAACACATGAAGCTAGACCTACTAGAAATGAGCACACAGGACACTCACTTTTTCACTCTTGCACGCACACACACACACACACACACACACACACACACACACACACACACACACACACACACACACACACACACACACACACACACACACACACACACACACAATGAAAAGTCTCTTTCTATGTTCTAGCAGCTAGTGACACGGAGCTAAAAACACATCTACATCACAGGGAAGAGGCTAAATAGAGATGCTGCTGTTTTCTTCTTAGTTTTTATTTTGGTTTAGCAAGTTATTGTCTTATTGTTTATTTTCCAGTCGTTTCACTAAATTCTATCGTCTCTTTACATTAAAAGATAAACAAAGTAAAAGTGGATTCTATAAATGCACATTAGCATAACCATATCAACATATGTTCAACTGTTGATAAGATTGTAAAATATGTAGATATTTTAATTACACTAAAAAAGGTTGCCTGGCATCTAAAAAGACTTATTTTGGAATTCCAGTAGGGAAAGGTTTGTCATTTATACAGGGATACAAAAATAAATGTTCAATCCAAGCACACATTAGAGTGCAGAAACACCAGGGTCCCAAAGCAGTGTATTCAGCATGATCATAGGACAGCCATGTTAACAGTCTGTGACTACAAATCCCAGCATGCCAGGGTGGGAGAAGCTTTAAGTGACCTTTCTGGGAGCGTGTGAAGGGGAAGTGAAGTCAGGGAAACAGAGGAATGGCAGTAAAGATAAAGAGAGCGGAGAAGAAGTAGCGTTGTAATCTTACCACCGACAGGGGTAGCAGACTGAGATCCTGGGCCAATAAGCCCATTGGTTGGGAGGAGGGGGGGAAGCAGAGGCGAGGGGGAAGGAACAGCAGATTAAACCAGATGCATTATGGGAGTTAACACAAAATAAGCGGCATGGGAGTTAGAACACAGAGTACGATGGGAGCGCATCCTGGTGTTCTATATCAAGGATGGAGGCCAAACTGAAGCACTTTGATTAAATAAATCCATTTAATAAAAAGGGAAAACATTGACGATGTGTTGCTTAAACAAACACACACACTAACACTGAACCAGCTGCAGATGATGGCCTGGGAAAAGCAGTGCATGTTGGGACAGCTGGATATGTAGCAAAGGCTGTTCACAATGAGGAAAAGAAAAGGCCTCAAAGTAAATATGCCCAACAATACCCACACACTCTCAGACACACCGAAATGTTTCTTAGCCTCTGTTCGGCTGCCATTTCCCCTGTCAGTCTGAGATCATTCTGTCTCTCACTTTCCAGATCTGATTGTTGCAGTTGGCTGTGGTCCAATCAATCAACTACTAAAATAGTAGAACCACAGCCACGTATAAGAAGCGGAAAGCAGGTACAAACATTAGCTTTAGGCAGGGTTCGCACAGCTTTTTAAGATTTAAAGCCATTTCACAATTCCTAAACCAAAAGTTGCCATAATCTCAAACACTTTATCATCACATTTAGATTGTTATGAATGCAATCCCAAAAAATAAGTTCACAGTATTTCTAAATAACCACAGCAATCATTGAATATTTTCATTTTGTAAAGTAAGTCGATCTCGCTTCAAATTTCCCATCTGTGGGACGAGTAAAGGTATTCTGATTCTGAAGGTTGGCATTACGGTTCCTTCCAGTGGCTCCTCTCCGAAGACATCTACTTTGTATTTTCATTACTCAGTTGTTATTAAGACGTCAGCCTGGCATGCTGCTTATGCTTAATAAGTTGTTACCTAGTAGCTGATGAGCAGGTACATAAGTTAACTAGCTACCTTCAATGTGCGAACGAACTCATGACACAGGGTTCATTTAAAAAATAATATAAATAAATATTGTTGGTTTACATGATTATGTAGATGTAACAGATTATGTTTTTTTGAGGGCTATATTTGAGTACAAACCATGAAGACATAACGTTTAAAAAAAAAAGGCTATTTCAAACTTTCAGGACTTTGTACGAACCCTGTTTGTGTGTAACAATAGTAACTGGATCAGAGGTTTGTGTTCCTTCACGTCTGTTGAAATATTCCTAATAACCTAAATGACAGCCAAAGCCAGGCTAGAGCAGCAGTAAGAAACCGTCCACCACACCATCCTCAGTGATGAGACACAGCATGCACAGAAGAACGCACATTAAAAACACACAAACTTCTCTGTACACGAAACACCTTGATCAGAATGAGAGCGATAGCAGGTGGTTCCACCATTCCCACTGTGGTGCACAGAGACACACACACGCACACTAACTCTGACACACAAACAGAATACCTGGCGTGCAATCGGATTCTTCGGAACCTGAAGGCACAAAAACATTTACACAGAGCTTATCGTCACCGCGAAGGCAACAAGTAATGACACACTCCACATAAGACTCTGAGAAACACACACTCAGAGAAGCTCACACACACTATTCCTGTTGTGTGTGTGTTTGTGTGTTTATTTGAGGTGGTAAGTCCACTTCATACCCAGAACGTTTCACTCACAGCTGGGTTTAAGTCATGGAGTGTGTGTGGTGGGAGGGGTACATACGTTGTGACTGGGACACCATCTTGGTGCGGCTGCGTCCTCTGGAGTCCACCTGGCTGGACATGCTGCTGGCGGTGGACAGCGGCTGCTTGGTACGTAAACGGCCTGGATGTGTGGAGGGAAAAATACTTAAAAATAAAATACACTGTGCTACACATCTATCCACGTCTAGTTTGCAGCTGCATAAGCCCAGAACCTAGGAAGCACTACAGCTAACGAAAAGCCACTACTGCCAGAGGATGCTTTACTAATGTCAGATCCTCAACTAAAACAGATTCAGTCGCACAGATACAGGGATGCTTCAGTGGATTAGGAACAATTGTCACTAAGTACGTACTTCAAATCTGACAACTTCAACAGCCCATTCACTTCAGCCCCTGCAGTGCATCCTCTGTTTACGTAAAGCCCTTCTTCTATTTACCCTTATGCATCCCTTTAAAAGTTGCTCTGATCTCTTAAGAGGACTAAAACAGTCTCAGAAAATGCCATGAAAGTATGCTTGAATATTATTTTTCACTTTCACTGATTTAAGTATTTCATTCGGCTTTAGTCCAGATCCTCCAAATTACAAACATTATAATATGTTCAGAGTTTAAACCCTTAAAAGGCAGGTTGTTTTAATAATAAAAAAAAAATATATATACTTCAGGCCATGAGGTTTTTTATTATAGTCTGGGAAATGTAAAATGGCAAAATTATAAAATATGCAAATAAACAGCCAAAATGATCCACGCATTTAACGTTAGAAAGCCAAAAACAATGCCCTGTCCCTATCGGTGATGCATAAGGCTCAAATACTTGTTTCAAGCACTACTAATGTTAGATCTGTCTTCTTATTTTTAGATTTCGATCACATGTAAGGCTACCAGAGTTCAAATTCTTTATAAATCGATTCCTGGTGATTCTTCTACAGGCAACAACTAATAGCAACTAGACAATTCCCTTAAACAAGCCCACACACACATCAACCTAACCACGATCTTACCATTGTCTGACTTCGTCCCTACAGACAGACAAAGAAGGAGCAGGGTATAAATATTACATTTCACCTGCACAGGTTAAATACTGTTCATACTGTGTGTCTAGCTTTCTGTTTATTCTATATTCCACACAAACAAAGTACTGCTTATTATAAATATAACTACTGCATGACTCTGCATTATGCTAAACTAAACTGCATTTTGTCTTCTCAGTTCCTGTACTATACATAATGACAATAAAGTCAAATCTAATCTAACTGATCTGTGTTTAATAACACCCTAAGTATCCTGATGAAGCCTCAGTTGTTTAATGTTTAATGCAGGTGTTGTTGGATTAGCCCTGAATGAGATTAAACTGTAGCAAAGCAGAACATGATCTTAGATGTGTTATTCATTGAAATCATGGTGTTATGAGTAGGATGGATGTGGATGTCTGCCAGCAGGGGGCGCTGTGGCCACACACTGCAACAAAAGGAGCTGATATGGACTGGTGGACTGGAATGAAGTGAGGAAAGGGAAATAAAGGAACAGAAGGAGATGAGTCGATTGTCGCTGGTGAAGCAGAGTGAGATGATCTTACCATCCGGTTTATCAGAGGCATCATCTTTAGTGGCAAAGAGAGAGAGGGTGAAAGAAACGAGGGGCACAAAACGTAAAAGGATGGACACGAAACGATTGTTAAAAGTAAAGACACAAAAGGAAAACGAGGAAAGTAAAATGAAAATTGAACAGCAAATGTCAATAAAAAAGAAACACAAAATAATGAGAAAGAATACATAATGACGGACAAAAACGAGGGACAAGAGAGGGGAGAGAAGAGAGGAGCACAGTCTGTTTTAGTTACAGAACATCTGTTTAACAGAACCATGCAGAGGTCATCGAGACACGGAGGAACAACACAGAGGACGATCCACAGCAGTGGTTCCCAACCTTCTGTGAGCAAGGGGCCCCTGGCATTCATTAAACTGAAGAAATCTGGCTAAGTGACATCTTTTATGGATATTTCATATTGTATTTGGTAATAGAGCCCAATCTGTGACCACAAAACTGCCTGAAGTATTTGGAGGGGAAAAAAGCAACTTGGAAGAGTGGATTATTTCCTGTGAGTATTGCATCAGTTTACTCCTTACCTTTATTAATATAATACATATTACACATACAGCTAAGTCTGTAGTATGTATGTTTTTTAAAACTAATACTTATTTTCTTCTACCTGAGACTCGGCTATAGTTCTATTAGGTCTTTAGTTGTTTAAATGTGTACTTTTCTGATGCGAGATGAGGCTGATTATCACAGCGGGAAGTCTATGTGAATATAGCAGCTTATGTTCAGGTCTTTGTGTTTTAATCTGTCTTTTCCAAGAAATCTAAACTTAAACAAATACAAACTTCATTTTTTTCCTTCACAGAAATAAATGAAAACTTGAGATAAAAGCTAACTGTATTTCAAAAACAACCACTATGGAGAATCCTAGTGGGGTTTTGGACCCTCGGGTTGGGAATCAGTGATATGAGGAAGCACACAGAAAACATGTATACATAGCACACAAAGGACACATTAACAGGCAATGAGGAGGCAGGAGAGGAGAGTGGAAAGGCCAGTCCGAGCACTGAGCTATGTGAGTGTGCAGTTCCTTATTATGGCGAGCTTTCATAGGATGACTTTGACTCTTTACTTCAGCCTGTCAGAAACTTTAGCAGCATTATTCTGATCTGACTCCTCGGGGGTCTCCATGACTGCCTGGCGTCCTGCTAGCTGATGTCTGTCTGGTGAGTCATATAACTGGCCTGACGGGGCCCTTACCCAGAGAGGAGTAGGAGCCAGGGGTCAGACGCCCGGCTCCCCTGGCCTGTCCGACCTGCCGGTGCTTAGCGACTGCTGCTGCGTTTACATCCACGTCGCTACGGGAACGCTGCAGGGAGGCCGCCGACAGCCCACCCTTTGAAACCGTAGGGACTGGTGGGAGGTGATGAGGAGGAGGAGGAGGATGAGCGTGTTGGAGAAGGGATGGGAGGTGATGAGGGGACATATACAAACACATGCAGGCACCACAATACCAAAATACTAAAACAATACAGAAGTACACGAACAGCCAGACACATACACGCACTTGTGTATGCGCACATGTGTGTAGTGACATAAAAACAACGTAACAGGATGTGGCTGTACGGACACAGGCGGATGTAAATGAGGATGATGGGAAATGGCTCTGTGTAGGAGCTGATGTTCGTCGCCGTGTATGTGTGTGTTTTCACAGGAGCGAGTGAGCATGAGGTCATGGGTTCGAGAGAGGTGTAGCCGCCGGTGTGTGTGTGTGTGTGTGTGTGTGTGTGTGTGTGTGTGTGTGTGTGCGCAGAGCATATGCTGACTCCTGTATGTACATGCATGAGGTGGTAAGTACCATGCTGTTGGCAGTGACAGTGTGTTGCAGCTGTTCAAAAAACTGCAGCCTACACTCTGAGCGTGCTCACCATGAGCGGTTCAGTCCCTGTGGAGTAAAAACACCTGGCTCTATA